ATTATTTGACCCTCTGCATCTAAAATCTTATCATAGTACTGAAAATCACAAAAAGTTCTCCACTACTGCAAAGAAAAAGTACACACAATAAATATAGACCTCTATAAATTACTGTTCCATCTATCATTTATCAGTTAATATATAGTATTTATTGTGACAAGCCTATTTCTAATAAAAAAAAATAATAATAAAAACTAATAAAAATTGTGTACACATTTTATTTGTGCATAATATAAAGACTTTTTTTTTTTTAATTCAATAACATAGATAATAGTTTGGATCTGCACAGTGAGGACGTTATTTTGTTGTTGTGATTCAAAACTGTGTGTGAGAATCCAGTGTTTTACCCACAGACTGTTTATAGAATAAATGGACATAGCTAATTCGCTAGCCACCACGTTCCAAATAGGAAGTGAACACAGGGGCGCTCCCAGCTCCATTAACTCTGGCTCCTACTGATTTTACATTGAAAAATTGTCACTCCTCTCTCTGGATCTGCTGCTGTCAAATTCATCATTTTGGTCTTAAAATGTTCATATTAATTCGCTCTACAACATCCTGGTGTTTTTAATTTGCTGCTTTGTACAGTGTGTGTCTTACCACATGAGGCAGACTTGGTTTCGAGCAGTTTGACCCGTCGTGTCTCGTTACGGATCCGGTCGTCAGTTTTGTCCACAAGATGAGCAACGTCATCGATAATCTCTGTGAGGAGAGAAAAACATAACATGAGCCATTTTGTAATTTTATATGTCACCCACAGTGCAGAAGAGCTAATAAAGAATGATTTAAAAGAGTTTTTTTCTTTAAAGGATCTATATTTTTACCAAAATTGACTCTTGTGAGCATTAAGCCATGTTGTAATATTGTTACCTCATCCAAACCATACCCGAAATTGTGTTTTGTTTCATACACACATGTTTAAGTAATCTTTTATTATTAGTCTGTCTACACCTCCATACCTCAAAAGTATCTGTTCTACCTTATGTAGTCATGAAGCAGTAGTTTTCAAGTTAAAAGCTACATTTTACCTTTTGTTCGGTAGAGATTGGAAATTCCTAGGCTGAAATTATCCAGAAGATTCTAGTAAAGGTATATGAAGTTACCACATGACATCACAAGGTGGAACCTTCCTCAATTTGTGAGGAAAACCTCCATATGCAGGATTTGTGTGTAAAACATGTGTGAAAAACAAAACAACTCTGGTATGGTTTTGATGAGGAAACAACATTATAATAGATCAGAAATAGCGTAATATGGGCCCCTTAATTAGTCACATCGATTTGTATATTTTTATTGCTTTATTTACTTGCTCATATTTGAACTGGATCCCGCAATGTTCAGTTTGATGTGCACCATAAGTCTTCCTGTCATTTTTTATAATAATAACACAGTGTGAAATGTGTGAATCCGGTTTGATTGTTACACATATATACATAACATAACCAAGTCTTGTTTGATAGAAGGCACTGCTTTTCCTTCACATCTCCGGTCTTATGTACACATTTTAGTGAATACTCTGAACAAAGTGCCTCATTGCTCCTGTGGTAGATCAAAGGATTTATGACACAGTACGTCTCAACACAGAGAGTGCATTTAATTTAAACCTATGTCTGTAGATGAAGTACTGAGGCCTGCTTATTATCTCTTCTCCTGTTGTGATGACAGCCCCAGTCGAGGTCCTTCACTGACTCCATTAACAAAGAACAGAGCTAACGACAATAGAGGAAGGAACTGGATTTTCAATACGCTTAAGATAAAACACAAACTTGGGAAGTTTTTACTCATGTCCAGATCACCGCAGTCACTCAAAACTAGAGATAGACCAATATATCAGTTTGTCGATATAACAGGACGATATTTTGACTAATTAGTGTATCAGCTATCGGCCTTAAAGGTGCATGAGCAACGTTTTTGGTGGAGGGTCCCTCACCTGCTTGTCTCCATGGAGATGCTTTGTCTGGAATGTTCCATTGTATGACATTAAACATATCCATCTATAATTTACTCATATCTATGGAGAGTTTTGAGCAATAGAAATACCTCTAATGACTTTTAATGTAGCCTATAGTTGTCTCCTTTGAGATACATGGCTTTAATCTCTCCCACGAAACATTCTAGACAAAGCAATAACATCTACCAGAAAAGTTGCACCTTTAAATCTCCAGCACAGAGCAATATTTTGTTGTGGTTGATCTGTTGCCTAAAGAAGACACACAAAGCTTTATTTTAAACACTTAAAGAGGATAAGAAGAAGAGATAAGTGCACAGAATGTGACTGCACTGGTCCTTTTTAGGTTTGTTGTAAAAAAAAAAAAAAAAAAAAGGCTGTGGGTGAGTGTGTAGTAATTTAAAAGTACATAATTCGACTTTTTGGGGGGGGGGGTCTATTTATGTTTTTGTTTTGTCAAATATTAAAATAAAAAAAATATATATATGTTTTTAAAATTGCTTCAACATATCGGTCTAAAAAATATCGGTAGAGTTTAGCAGACATCAGTGACTCTGGTCTCCAAACAGTTGGTTTCGGCATCGGCCATGAAAAAACCCATATTGGTCAATCTCTACTAAAGACACGACTATAAAAAGGCAACTCATCTGGGGAAGTTATATGCGGCTTTCAGGATAAAAAGCAGTCAAATAAAGCAGTGATTTGTCAAATAAGATCATCAGAGTGCTTGACATGACAGCTCACTACTGGCTAACCCACACAGAGAACTAAAAACAGGACTTTTGGAAGGAAGACGTGAGAGCTTCGTGTTTGCAGCATCCCCGGAGATTCCCCACATCATCATCGCAGCATCAGGCAGCAATTTACAGAGAGAGACAGCACTTCCTGCACTGGCAGACAGCTGAGCCCGTCGTACTGCGGTGCACTGCTCACACCAGACGAGAGGATGTTGTGGAGCGCACCGTGCCAAGTCCTATGACTGGGCTCTGGCCTTGTAATAACATCTGAATTCACTGATGACTTCCAACCACACACAAGGCAAAGATGTGACCTCCACCTGCAGCTGCACACACACACACACACACACACATACAATTGAATTTTTACTAAAGATGGCTGTCATTTAAGAGAGATTAAATTATTACACAGCACCATCACAACATAATTCCCAATTTCCTACTATAAGTGTTGAGCTCACTGACACACTGACGTTGCTCTGGGAATGGCTAAATGTCTAGATTAGATTTATTGTAACTGTACAAAATACAATGAAACTTCGATAGAGCATAACACGTCTTGCAGTATTTGTGTAGCAAAATGTCTCAATCAGTCTGTATAGAAAATACATGTATTGGTGCATTTGGGCCAAGAATCCTGTCTTAGGTGCGAGTTTTGTGATTTGAAATGAGACACTCGGTACATGTCAACTTAAAGTGAAGGGAAACCAAGGAAAGCCCCCACTAGGCGAAGCAATAAAAACTAGATGGGCAGACTTCAACTGATTTTATTCTCTTTTTATCATACTAGCTCTCGGCCTGTTACATGTTGAATAAATAAAATATTTGATTGATGACAGAATTATAGAAAGTAAAGCCTTTAATCATTTGTTTAATTGGTTAAAGGCCAGCAACCCACATATTTTGAGGAGATCAGAACCTCCCTTGTAATAAAAACTAGTGTGGATGCTTTGCCAACTGTTAATTCTGGCACAGAATAAGGACATTGTATAGGAGCATACTACACTAGATCAAATCAGATCAGCTTCTAGTTGGATTTCAAGGCTCACGTCAATCAGAATTAGCATGAAGGATATTGATTTTTGGCCAATGACAAAGTACAAGTGTGATCTTATTCTTTCAGCCATTACTCACCACTGGCAACGGTGAAGGTTGAGCTGAATGTCAACTGTTCTTCGACTCCACTTTCATTCCAGCAGATAGTAATCTAGTTCTAGGATATCCAAAATGGAAACCCTTATAGAAAAAAGTGACGCAATGTTTTGTAGATACGTCTTTCCAGGCCTGCTTTATACTGTTGGATGAATGGGGAGTGGTGCAATTGGAGGGAATCTCTGGACTAAAATCCAGTTGACCGCACACTTGATGAGACCAGAAAGTCAACAATAATCAGATTTTGAATTTGCCACTTGCAAAGTTAAAAATTATCTAAGTAACTCCATAGTATTTTGTTTTGTATGTCTTACACCAGTCCTCTCTCAACCCTGACCAGCCAGAACCACACAACAAAACTTTACAAAGACGAGTGGATCTGGAGCTGTCCTGTCTCCCTGATTCCAGAGGGCGTGACTGACAGGTCGATTATCAGAGAGATGCAAAGTTTGTGTCAAAAACAGACATGGCATGGCGTACTCATAAAAAAGGGAAAAAAAACAACTTAAAAGGACTAAGAAACAGTGCAGACTTTTACAGAATCAGCTATCAAATCACCAAACTATTACTTATCTCAGGTAAAAGAAGTTATATATTTTGTTCTGAATGAACACAAGAATTTTGAAGAGGAGATGTCTTGGGCATTTCAGACACGTGCTGCAAATTAGCAGCTGTAATTGGATCATTTCAAGTTAGGACAGAGGTTTTTCATTCTCTAAACCCCTCCGATTCAGGCATATGAACAGATATCACAAGCTCTGACCCACTAGCACAGTTCAGTTTTCTTGTGGCCATATAGAAGAAAAGTTTGTTTTTGTTGTGTCAATGTAAATACAATGTTACCCAGAGGGGCTAATTCTGTTGTATGATTATTTCTCCAGAGGATGATGGGGGAACATTTTTATTGTTGTAATGTGGAGGGACCTGACCACAACTGTTACCAATTGGCCCTGGTTGGACTGAGTGTATGGAGGGGGGTTAGAGCTGTACTGCCAACCAAAACATGCACACTTCTGGATGTAACTAGAACTTCTCTTGGCACACACTCAAGCTCTCAGTGTGATGATACAACTCAGGGCAATTATAGTATTTACAAGAAGTTGCGCAGACTTGGACAACTTTCTTTAAACGCACCTCTCCTTTTCACTGCTTATTGCAAACAAACCCACTGCGAGGGTCTGAGCAGGGCAGATTAAGGCCTGTCTCCTTCTAACCCCAATTTTTTTGACATTTATAAACCAAGTGTGAAAAATGTCTGTCCATATTCGATAAGTCTGAGAAGTAAAATACACTGTAGTAAGTGTTTATCAGATCTGACATGCTAGAAGTGGAAATATACAGAACCGCTTCATCATAACAATACCATGGCATCATTTTGAAATCTAAGCAAATCAAAATGACGAAACCTCTGGAGTCGGTTTAAGTGTATAATTCGATAAATTTAAAACTATTTCAAAGGTGCACAATGTAAATTTGTGTTTGGGGGTCTGTCACTTACTTATTTCTATAGATATGTCATTGCTCTGGCAGGAATGTTCCACAATATGACATTAAACAGCCACACCTTACATGTTCTAAATTACAGGTGTTTTATAACTGACTGTGAGCAAGTTTTAATGCCAAAGCAATAACATTTCCATGGAGAAAAGCATTTGACGAACCCTTCACCAGAAAAGTTACACAATGCACCTTTAACTACTTTATAAGAAGTGTTTTAGCTAGTTTTAAACATATCAGCCACAAGAAAAAAATTTTAATAAAAAAGTTGTATAAAGCCATGCAATCCACAAACATCATGTCTGGATAGCTTACTCGCAAGCACTGTCACACACAAAAGGCTCCACTCATATCTCTGGCCTAGTGTA